ATATCTGTTATCCATTTTCCTCAGAATATTTATTCACAGACGAAAACTCACTGTAACGCACAGTTGCACGAACGGCAAGCTACTGACGAAACGCGTCCAATTTCTGGCAAAGAATAACGGTCGTGTGATGTTTCCGTTATACCTCGACCCAAGCACGCCCGAAAACACAATAGAATCGTAAAACAGGTCTAGACACGCTCTCTTCGAAGGGTCGCTTGCCGCTACATGCCTCTCGGCTCGGCCGCAAAACAGGCGGCACGGCGTGTTCTCGGAGACGGTTCACTCTCTCGGCTGTAACTTTGTTATATATCGAGATATTGACTTGCAATTTTCACTAGATATTCTTGAGACCTCAAGCTTCAAGAAAATGCAAAAAAATCGATTTTTTCGACCATGCTAGGTGTATATCTCCCCTTAACGTAAATTACTTTTCAGTTACAGATCTCGTATTTTTCATTAACATGTAAATTAATTTCTATAATAATGTGTTCATTAATTTCAATACACACGTTCATCACATTTAAGACTACAGTAATTTAGTTTTTATTTACATCATTCACTACATTTAATTTCGTGCATAACCACATGCTTCCTTTACATGTTAATTAAAATTTATTGAGAAATTTGTAACAGTGTACATCGAACACGTCTGAGACAAGCTTCCGGAAGGCGGATTCGGAGGTTCAAACCTATCGTCGCTGCGACGAGCACTACAATCAACCGTGGCAGCAGACGTATGGTACATCGACGGTCCAGCACCTAAGATAAAGGACTGTAGCGAATGTCGGCGTCACGCGGCGGTCTGCTGAATCGAGCGATAAACGCGCTTCCTTTCGAGTTACATATCCCGGGCTACCAGTTTTGCGGTCCGGGTACTCGGCTGACGAAGTGATTAGCCAGAGGTGACCCGGGCATAAATCCGCTGGACGCGGCGTGCCGAGATCACTACATTGCGTATTCTCAGAGCAACAATCTCACCCATAGACACGCGGCGGACAAGGTACTGGCCGACAAAGCGCTAGGACGCGTCGTCGCGAGAGATACGGCTCTGAGCGAGAGAGCCGCAGCTGCAGCCATTTGGGCAACGATGAAAGCCAAGACCAAGATCGGCATGGGCATGCAACTGAAGAAGACGACGACGAGGAAAAAGGCTACGAAAAAGCGTATACTTCCGAAGGCGAAACGTGGCAGTGCGTTACCGTTTCTACAAATGTTGGGCGCGCTCGGATCCTTGATCGGCGGAGTGGCCAGCGTGGCGAAAACGGTGAACGACATCAAAGCCGCGCGACGTCAGCTCGATGAGCTGCAACGTCAAAATTGTGCGATGGAACAGAGCTGCGGACTATATCTCGTTCTGTCCAAATATGAACGCGGACTGTATCTCGGCCCGTACAAACATGGACAGGGCGTAGCTGTGAAGAAAAATAAAAAAAAACACCAGAGACGATAAAAATGCCGTCTGGTGCAACTATCAATGTACAATTGAACGAGCTCGCGAGAAGTATGCGCATATCGTACTTTAGAGGCGTTTTCATGCGTAACGCATTACCGACGAGCGGCGCGCGCCGAAACGAAAGCGGTATCGTGAATCTGGACGATGCAACAGGGCCCGGTACTCACTGGGTAGCGTACGCGAAGAGAAACAACCGCGTCGTGTACTTTGACAGTTTCGGTAATCTTCGACCGTCCAAGGAACTGGTGCGGTATTTCGGGAACGGTGCTACGACGATAGAGTACAATCGCACGTCCTATCAGACGTACGATCAGAGCTTCTGCGGACAGATGTGCTTGCGGTTTCTACAAACGGTCGATACGCGCGAATTTAAAAAGCTCGACGAAGTGCTGTGAAATCTCAGTATTGATCGGACGCTTTTTCCGTCATGTCGCTGACGCTTACGCTGAGCGGGACGAGCACCGTCCTCGCGGCGAACTACTTTCCAGCCATAGATTTGAGTGACGGCGATTACGAGCTCGGTCTGGCGATTTTTGAGACTTATAACACGATACCGAACGTGAACGAGAACAACAAATTTTATTTCGCCAAAGACGTGGAAATTACAATTCCCAAAGGTTCGTACGAAGTGCGAGACATAAATGAAATTTTGAAACCCAATTTTTGACATAGTGCGTGGTGATAACAACAACAATAATAGCAACAACAGTAACAACGACAGCGATGACGACGGTGGAGAATACCCGATTACGCTCCGCGCAAACTACAACACGATGAGATGCGAGATTAGATGTGCATACAGAATAAACTTTGACCGGCCCAACAGCATTGGATCACTGCAGGGATTCTCGTCGAAACGTATACTGCGACCTCGAAGATGGCACGAATCGGACATGTCGATCAACATAATGAACGTAAACGTTATCTGCGTAGAATGTAACGTGACCACGGGCGCGAACAGCAACGGCAAAGCGTGTAAACGATACATGAATTTTCAGCGTGCCGCCAGGATATAAGATATCGGAACGGCCGGCGCATATCATTTACCTGCCGATCATCGCGCGGAGCATTACGGATCTAACAGTACGCGTTCTCGACCAGAACGAACGATTGCTCGATTTTCGAGGAGAAAAGATCACCGTTAGATTGCACGTACAACGGCGACAGTGATAACGCGAGCGTGCGATGCTCGTGCTGAACGGAACGGAGCGCACGCAGAGAGATAATTCTTTACAAGGCCCATGACGTCATAGCTCGATAACACTCACTCATCCAGCTGCATTGGGAAGAAGAAGCTCAGCGCGTCGAACGTTACATTTTTAAAGTCTTTGGGATTCGCGGTGCGCAACGTTTAAGATGACTGATATCCTAAACATTAAAGATGAGCCGATCTTCGACGATCGCATCGTCAAGATTGAGACTTACGCGTACAACCCGTTCGCTAACACAACGTTCGGGTACAGCGACGAGATAAGAATACCCATACAGCAACAGGATCTGTACACACTGCCGTACGAAAACTTTCTATACGTCGAGAGAAAACTGACGAAGGACAGAGCTGTCGATGGCGCCAACGTAGCCTTGGGAAATAATTTCGTCGTTCATATTCGACGAGATTCGATATGAACTCAACGCTGTGGAGATTGACTGTAACAGAAACATTGGCATAACTAGCATGCTCAAAAATTGTGTAACAGTGTCGCCCGACAGAATCGTGTTTTTGCGAAATGCCGGCTGGGACGCGCAGACTATACTGAGGCCGGATACTTTAATTTATGTGTACCGCTCTACGTACTGCTGGGATTCTGCGAAGATTACATACGCGTGGTGATCAACGCTCGCCACGAGTTGATTTTAATACAAGCGCGCAACGACAACAATTGTCTGACGGGAGATCCTGCGACAGAGCCGATACTTGAATTATTGAAAATACAGTGGCGAATGCCGCACGTATTATTGAGCGAGATAAATAAGCTGTCGATGCTCCGCGCTCTGGAGAGCGAACAATATCTGAGCATGGCTTTTCGCTCGTGGGACCTGTACGAGTTTCCACTCTTGCAGAACACAACCAAGCATTCGTAGGCCATCAAGACGGTTACTCAGCTCGAGAAGCCGCACTATGCAAACAGGTCGAAAAAACATCATGTCCGAGGATATAAGTCGTTTCGACGACTGCAAGTTAACCAACGGGTAACTGTACCTGAACTCGGAATGTTAGCCGTACGATGAATTGAATCTGGATTTCGAGAAAAACAGATGTGCGATTCTGTACGACTTGTACGCACGTTTCTGCAAAGGCTACTATGGATACGAGTATCTCGTGCCGAGTCTCACCTTTACGACTTTGTTACATTATGGCCCGTTCGTGATCATCGATTGCTCTCGACAGAACGAATCGGTCAAGAGTGGCACCGTGGACGTGCGATTAGACTTTGAATGTAAGGAGAACGTACCTGCAAATACAACAGCCTATTGTCTCATCATACATGATCGCGTGGTTCAGTATAATCCATTGACCAAAGTTGTGCGCAAAATCACCTAAGCGCATCCTTCCGCACGATATAAAATCTAAGATACGCCTCAATTGACCGCAGTTTTCTCGACAACGTGCTCGTGCCAACGTTCGTGTATCTACAAGGATTCATCGTTAACAAGAAATTTATCGCGAAGGAAGTGGCGGTGCTGAAACAGGGGGCCGTTCTCACACATTAAATTTTTACGAGTCCCGTGCCATGGAAATTTTTGACAAGATCCGACAGGTCTTGCGCTTCCTGGTTGAGTGCTTATCACCATTGATTACGATGAGAGGACGGGATGATCCCGTACAGCGAGGCGAAATACCTAATCAATGCGGCTGTATTTTAAGATGATGCTATCGTGTACGTAAAGGGACGCGAGAAACGAACGTGGCTATGGAACTTGCTTCTGGACGATGAACGAGAACGTATGCACATCGAGACCTTGGACACAATGTACGAAGACATTGAATCGTTAATTACTCTGGATGTTGCTAATACTATGTGATGCGAACAACATGTTAAGAATTGCGCGTTACAAAATGT